TCTTTCTTCCCTCCTGCACAAATCTTAATCCAGCTGAGTCCTCCTCTTTGGGGTGGCCATTTTAAACCACCGCTGCAGTCATCTTCGGGGGGAAAAAGATCAAGCCCAGGGGGGGAGATACAGCTCCCCTCAACCTGGTTTGCAGCTTCCCCTTACTCTGCTGTCCCTCCAAGGCAGCTTCAGCCTCTAATTATAATGATCGGGGCTCTCCAATGAAAGAGCACGGACCATAGCCACAGAGAGTCGCGATCTACGGTCTGTCAGTGAGGAAGCTCCGCCTTCTTCCTCCCACAGCCCTCTTTTTGACTTGTGCAGTATACAGGTCCTCAATGGAAGGCAGGTTGGTAGAAATTGTTTTTTTTTTTTTTTTTGCAGTCTTAATTACTCTCTGAAGTCTGTTTCTGTCTTGTTGGGTTGCAGAGCCAAATCAGACAGTTATAGAGGTGCAGATGACAGATTCAATCATTCCTCTATAGATCTGGATCAGCAGCTCCTTGGGCAGTCTAAGCTTTCTGAGTTGATGCAGAAAGTACATTCTTTGCTGTGCTTTTTTGATGACGTTTCTGATGTTAGGTGTCCACTTTAGGTCTTGTGATATGATAGAACCTAGAAATTTGAAGGTCTCTACTGTTGATAGATTGGTAATAAATATTCAAACTGTACTGCAGACAAAAAAATTATAAAGGGGTGTCATAAAAGATGTTTTAGAGTTTTCCTGTTTTCTGACAGAAAGTTATTTTTTATTTATTATGCCAATGAATTTTGAAAGATAAAATCAGGGCTCCAAGGGAACATATTAGAAGCACCAATCTGTCAACCTTCAACCCAGAGAAAAATACTACCATTTGGCTCTAGTCATTTATGAATACTTTACTGCGATACTCTGGACTTTCTCCTTAGCAAACAAGTTTAGCAGTGCAGGTGTAAGGATGCTTCTGTCAGCCTTGGAAGCCATATTTTACTTGGAAGCTTCAAGGCTGCCACATTAACAGTGCCTGGGAATTTGGGAGAGGGGATTTCTTAGTGAGTAGAAGAATAGATTCAACAACATTTTTTCTAAAAAGTCAAGGACAAGTCACCCAGCACCTGGAGAGGAGTGTCTGGAGGAATTTCTCCAGTTGAAATGATATTTGATTGGACCACATGGTGGACTGATGGGTGTAGGAGATGGATCTTTGAATTTCTGTTGGGGAAGGAAAAACCTGGAACTCTTGGATTCAGGTTTTCCCAGATGTGCCAATAAGACTTCTCAAATAAATTTTTACTTAGATGGACTTTGTTTGCTGAATGGGAGAGTTTTCTTGGAATGCTGACAGCTTATTTATCCAACTTTGATAGCAATATGAGGACAATACATGGGCTTATAGTGGTTCAAATGTTCAAATGTTAATGTCCAGTCCACCCAGCCATTCAAGGACAGGGTGGTCTACGTTGAAAAGAATCAGACATTGGGCTGGTGTAAGCTCTTGATGGGCATTTGGACACAATGTGATGGATATTTTGTCAAAGAGCACCACTTCATAACCTTGAACTAAGAAACGAATTCTTAATTACTCTCTCCCAACTTCTCAGGCTATGTGGCAGTGTGGAATATGGCTTCCAAAGTGCCAACCATGGTCACACTTAGGGGTAGAGACAAGATCCCACTTAAACAATGAGTCCCGGCAGACACCATGCTGGGAATAGAACCTGTTCTGAGTTGACCAAAGTTGGCTAAGATTAAATACTTGGGATCCATTTGCCATAGGAATGGATGGATAGGGTCCATAATTACCTTAAGTTGGTTTCACGGACATCAATGGTCCATATGATGGCAAAATCATTAGCTGTTCTTGGTTGACTGTAAAAAGTAAGCAGGTTCCCATTCTGAAATGTGTTTCTTGGTGTTGTGAAAGGCAACTGGGGAAATGAAATGAAATTCTGGAAAGCTTTGTCTCTTTTAGAAGTGTAGGATAATATTAGGGTATTCTATACTCTGCATCTGAATAGTCACATATGTTAAACAGTTTGATTTAACTCATAGTTAGAAATAGCCAGAGAAGGGATAATGTGTTCTCATGAACTGGACTTCCCTTGAAGAAATAGAACTGGTCTTATTCCCTGTCACAATTATCTCCCAACTTACAATTTAGCAATAGCAATAGAACTTAGACTTACATACCACTTCACAGGATTTTACAGCCCTCTCTAAGCGGTGTACGGAGCATATTGCCCCCAACAATCCGGTTCCTCATTTTACTGACCTCAGAAGGATGGAAGGTGAGTCAACCTTGAGCCTAGTGAGATTCGAACTGGCAAATTCTAGGCAATCAGAAGTCAGCAAAAGTAAAATTGCAGTACTGCACTCTAACCACTGTGCAACTCTAGCTCTAAATTTACTTAAAATTTAAAGTCAAAAAAGTTGATTTTGCTTGGTATTATCACTTTCTTCATTTTTCTCCAGATCTCATATGCTTTTGTTTCTGAAGATATGAATGATAAAACCCGATTTCCCTTTTTCTACCGGATGCTCCCAAAAGAAGGAACCCAATATGCAGGGATCATTAAAGTGATCCAGTATTTCAGATGGACTTCAGTGGTTCTTGTTGCTCCAGAAACTGACAATGGAGAAAAGTTCTTGAAAGTTCTAACACCTTTACTGATCAAAAATTATATTTGTGTTGTTTTCGTGCAGTGGATCCCAGTGGTGCAAAATAAGCCATTTAAGATGAACCCTGCTTTGTACTACAAATGGAAACAAGTCAATGTATTTATTTACTATGCAGAATCTACTTTGCAGAGTATGTATTTCTATGGGATGGATATCATTGAGGATGCATTTCAATTCTTGATAAAACCTAAAATAAAAAAAATCTGGGTGGTAACAGCTATGTGGGACCTCTCTTTGAATTTGAAACACAAAACTTTCCGATACGTTGATGGTATTTTCTCTTGCTCCATCCCATCGAAGAACTGGATAAAATATGACACAGCTGAAGTTCCCTACTCTTCAATGAGTCAGTTTGCCATGAAAGCTTTTACATGTTCATTTGAAAAGCATCTCTTCCCTGCTAAACGGTGGGTTAGATGCAAAGAAAGAGAAGAACTGGACACTCTGTCGCAGAAGGAGATTGAAAGCATCATTTCTCACAGCCATCATATTTACAACACCATCTGGGCTGTGGCAAAGGCCTTAGATGCTGCTTCTTTCTCCCCATCCAGGGAGAGGCTGATAGGTGGAAATGCCTTGAAGTGGAAAAGGCTGCAAGCTTGGCAGGTATTTCTTGCTCCATAAGAGAGATCTCAGCTAAAATCAAGAATCATGAATACTACCAATAATACTATTTATTACTATCAATTGATAATTGCAAATAAATACGGTATGGCATATTTGTGGGTGGACACCAGAGTTTTCTCAAGAGGTATTTATTCCAATTACCAGCTTTGCATATTAAATTGGTTGCAATTGAAACTGATATGGCTTGGAAAAAGTTGATTTTTGGAATAAAATAGGCTCCATGAAGAGAGTCTATTGCTTCTCAATTCAGAAGAGTTAATGTTCTGCAAATGAGCTCCTTAAGGGAAACCTTTTCTCTCTTTATTGACACCACATATTTTAATAAAAATCTTAAAGGCCATCTTTTCCAACAATGGACAGAAAAGTATTCCTAATGGTTGTTTCTAGCTATCACTAACATCTTTGATTTGGGAATTGTTGCTTCTTGACTGTTGGGCTAGTTTTGTAGAGACCCAAAATGATAGTTGTAATGGGGAAGAATCTGAGTAGGGGATCAGTTTCCAAATTGTTTCCTACTGGTTCTATGCTTCATGCACACACACAGGGTAAAATACCAACCTGTGTCAATGCTGGTGAGCTGCTTTTTAGCTCAGCTGAGGTGCAGCAATCCACTCTGCCACACAAATGAGCTGAGTGTCAGCATTCCAGAAAACCTCCACTGCAACAAATAACTCCGAGACAGACATCTTCTCAAAAGTTTTAATTGGATAGTAAACTGGCACATCTGTGGAATCCTGAAACTGAAAGTTCCAGGCTTCCTTGCAATAAGTAAAAACTACAAATCCATCCCCCTGCACCTATCACCACATCACACGCCCCAATCACCATCTGTGCCAACTTGAGACATGCTGTTGTGGTTTGCTGGCAGCAGATGTAGATGGCGGAGGACTCTGAGAGTGAGGACTCAGATGAGGGGCCTGCGTGTGATGCTGGGATGGGGCCAGGACTATCAGAGAGTGGGGTGCTGCATTAAGATCTTTTGGAGTCTTGTAGCAGTGATACAGATGACCCCAAGGAGCCTGTGCCCAGTGCATGTGCACACAGGGCTGCTTGAAGGAAAGAGCAGCTGCTGCAGCACGGGCAGTAAGAATGCAAGGTGATGGTCCCTCCCATAAGGGATAAAAGCCAGCCCTCAGGGGTTGGGTTCTTTGCAAGAAGCAAAGAAGTTATTTCAACTCCAAGTTCTTGTGGAAGTCCTGTCTATTCTGGTTTGTTTTGGGGGATTTTTGGTTTTGGATATTTCTCTGCAATTAATCTTGTGTTCTTGGCAGGCTTTCACAACCTTGAATAAGAGGCAGGCTGTTGAAATAAATGCATCGCTTTATGATAAATAATATTGATCATATCAAATTCTTTCCAAAAATGAAGATGGTTCACAGGAACTCAGACATAAAATCAGGGCTGAGAAGGTGATTTTATTTGGTAGAACTTGTCTGGACTAGAAAACAATGAAGAATTGGGCTTGACGAGTCCTTGGGTGGAAGATTCACAGAAAAACCCAGGGTTGCAGACTGTACTGGGGAGGTGCAAAGCATATCTGATCAAAACAAGAGCAAATGATTCCAATGTTCTTGCCGAGAAAGTTCCATTGATATGTCCATAAAATGTAATTGAAATCAAATGATTCTTCTATAAAAGGCTGAAGTTTTTCTTATTGATGATGTCATCCTTACCATGCCAGATTCATCATTTCCTGCAGAATACCCAGTTTTACAACAATACCATGGATGGGGTGTATCTGGACAAGAACGGAGAGCTGGCAGCTGAATTTGACATTGTGAACTACGCAGAATTTCCAAACAGATCTCTTCTTCGAGTGAAATTTGGAAGTTTTGCAAGAGAGAAATCCCAGGAATCCAAATTTGTCATTGACCTAGATACCACTGTATGGCCCCAGTGCTTTAACAAGGTGGGGAAAAACTAATTCATTCACCATATTTCTTTTTCTTTTTAATCAGCAGTACTAATAAGTACAACATATTCTTTGTGCACCTCATTTACCAGTAAATGTGGCAGTGGTGGTATTCTACCGGTTTAACATGGTTTGGGTGAACCAGTAGTTAAAAAAACCAGCTACCGGTTCGGCCAAACTGGTATTTCTTTCTTTTTTCCTCCCAACGATCAGCTGTTCTGATGATCAGCTGTGGCAGGATCCCCCTTGCTGTCTTACTGGTTTGCCCAGGAGGCTTCCCTTAGGCCTAGGAGGCAAAGAGGAGTTCACAATGTGTGTGTGCTGTACTCCCTTCCCCCACTCCGTTTTTTGCCTCCTGGGCCTCAGGGAAGCCTCTTGAGCAAACCAGTAAGAGAGCAAGGGGGATCCCGGCACAGCTGATCATTCAGGATGCTTCCCTGAGGCCTAGGAGGTTAAAAAAAAGGGAGTGCGGGGGAGTGAGTGGGTGGGTGCTGCAAAAAAAAAAAGAAGCCACGTCCACCTAGCCACACTCACTGAACCAGCACTAAAAATATTTGCATCTCTGTGTGAACCTCACTGAGACTGGAGACAATCTCTCCCTAAAGTTTGTATGTAACATATGCTACCAGTATAAGTACTGGGGCATAGATTCCTGCATGAAACACTATTTTTTTAAAAAAAAATATATAACTCCAAATTGCCAGCTTTACACATTAGATTGGGGAGCTAGCAGTCACCAGATTCCTACAAAATAAAACCTATAACGAATAGAAAAGACAGGATGTCAGTGTTCCAATAATAGAACCATTTGCACGCAAGATCTTTGATGCAGGTAGATTCCTTAAAGAATAGCTTTATTGGAAATATCAATTGGCAGATATCTGGTGAAAACCAACTCTGAAGAGCCCCTTGATTTTCACCTAAATAAAAGTAAAAGTTTTTCTGTGAATTCCAAACAATCAGTCACGTGGCCCAATCACCAGTGGTAGGATTCAATTTTTTTTTACTACCGGTTCATACCGGTGGGCATGTCTTGGTGGTGTGGAAGGGGAAGGATATTGTAATATCTCCATTCCCTCCCAACCGCACAAAACTGCTTTCCAGCTCCGTTCTCCTGTGCAGCACAACAAAAGAAGACCCAGTCAATCAGCTGGGACTTGGAAGACAGAGAATGGATGGGGGCCTGGCCAGTCAGAGGTTGTATTTGCCAGTTCTCTGAACTACTCAAAATTTCCACTACCGGTTCTCCAGAACTGGTCAGAACATGCTGAATACTACCTCTGCCAATCACTGCAGTGTCTGCTGGTCTGGTGACATAACTCCTTCTTCCCTCGGCTAGGTGTGATAATGTCCTTGGTTCCCAAAAGAAAGTCTTGAGAAAGTATTTTATTTTGACTACACAAGCCCAGCTATCTCTCCTTCCACCCCTCCCTATCCCTCGCTCCGTTGTGGCAACCCTAAATCTCCAAAATGGCTTCACCCAGGTCAGGTTCAGGGTTGACACACAGTTTTGTAGGAAGAATTGTTTTTTGGGGGGTATTTTAAACTGTTATGATTCACTTCTCAGTTTAATAAACTGAATACATACATTATACAATAACCTGATAAGGAATAGAACAGAACAGAACATAATAGAATAGCAGAGTTGGAAGGGATCTTGGAGGTCTTCTAGTCCAATCCTCTGCCTAGGCAGGAAACCCTACACCACTTCAGACAAATGGTTATCCAACATCTTTTAAAAAACTTCCAGTGTTGGAGCATTCACAACTTCTGGAGGCAAGTTGTTCAACTGATACATTGCAATAACTGCTCTAACTGAGATTAGTCATAGGAATGTTCCCAAATTTGCTGTTTTAAAGTTAAACATATTTGGCCTAACTGTAAACTTCCCATCAGGGGCCTTGCTGATTCGGCCTTACTATTCTTTTATTCAACAAGTCATCCTTCAGCTGTATTCCGTTATGTGCCTCCTATTATTTTTCTCCTTCTACTTAGAGTCTGCCTCCTTCCAGGTGTGTGGAAAGTTGTCAATCTGGATTTTTCAAAGTGGGTCAGGAAGGGAAGCCCATTTGCTGTTACGACTGTATTTCCTGTGCAGAAGGCACCTTCTCCAGTCATGAAGGTGGGTGGAAAAACAATCAGCAGCAAAAGTCTCCCTCTGAGGGAGATGGGCACTGAAGAAATATGACAATAAATGAATAGTTTCTGTAAATGTTTTCCCATTTTGTTGTACTTTTGGTTGTTCTGTTCATGAAATAGGTGATAAGCAACTGGGAAAAGGACAATCCCTCGTTAACCTTGGTTCATACCAGGGATGGGCTGCTACCGGTTCTCCCTGGTTCGGACGAACCAGTATCTAATTTTATCATTTTTAATACCGGTTCGGCAAACAGGTAAATTCCATCTCTGGCTGGCCCTGCCCACCCCAACCTGTCCCTCTCAGGAGTCCCCATGCAGCCCACTTTCGATGCCAGGTCGGTACAGGGCCCACGCTGAGGCACAGGGAGGGTCAAAAATGGGTCTCCCAGAAGTTCCAGAAGGCTGGAAACGGGCCTGTTTCTGACCTCCGGAGTGCCTTCGGACCCTGTGGAAGGATGTTTTTGCTCTCTTGGAGGCTTGAGGAAAGCCTCCTGAGCCTGAAGAGGACAAAAATACCTCCCCCCCCCCCATGGTGCAGGAGGCCAATTAGGCCATGCCTACCATGGCCATACCCACCCAGAAACTGGGCAGATAACTGGTTGCTGAAATTTTTGAAGCCCACCCCTGGTTCATACCTAACTTTGATTATTATTTGTTTTAAAAAAATTATAAAAACCTTTATTGAAAATTAACATGCTTAAGAATAGAATAGAATAGAATAGAATAGAATAGAATAGAATAGAATAG